TCTTTTTTGGGCAATAATTTGTGCTGCTTTCCATTCGTCATTGATACAGCCCTTCGTCCCATCTATCAGCTATTTTTTCACCAATTCCCGAAAAACGGTCAACAGCCAGAGCAGCAGCAACAGCACAGTTTCAGCCAGAAATTTTCACAGACAGCTGATTTGGGCTCACAAGATTGCCATTTTCATAAAAGACGATCAGGTGCTCATTAGCTGTAAGAAACATGTATATACGTCCCTTGTTTTTAATGGTTTTAGAAAATTTCAGAAATCATGGAATTAAAAAAAAAAATCGACAATTAGAATTGAGAATGAATATGCAAGGTCATACTTTGATTGACATCACAGCATGGCCACCATTTTTCAAGTAATAGCCAGCATTCATGGCAACAATTCGGGCCTGATCAGGCTGCGCCACATCCGAGAATATCGTATCAACCAAACCTGCAAAAACAGCACAGAATTAGCCCAGGACGAAACAGCCCTACGCTTTACAACAAGATAAAGTCCAGCCTTTTATGCTTGAAGGATCAGTACACGTCGAAGCAGTGTATTCAATATGACCAAAACTCTGCAAAACCGGGGCCCACATATCCAGTAATTTCGTTTAAAAACAATGAGGATGGATAAAAATTGGCTGAGTATAAAGGGAAACAGTAGAAGGCAAGGACTGGTCTTAAGTGTAATGTGACGAAGGACATTTTACTATGTGGTAAGTCCGTGTTTCATCCCTTAGCTGTAAATAAAAGACTGATCGAGATGACTACCTCTGAATCATTATGAAAACAAAAAAAAGCAAAACATATACAGGGGAAAACAAACATATTTTCACAGCAACTGTTAGAGCTAGTAAAAAACCGAGTCGGTGCTCTTATCTGGATTAAAAATAGAGCCAGCAAAATTTGGCATTAAATCTGCCGTAATCCTCGGCAAATACTCACCAACAATCATTCTGTACTTCAGCGGATGGCGTGCATCCTCGACAATCGGAATAATATTTGGCCTTTTCTTGGCAATATTCAACAGATCTCGTCCAGATCGATGTGAAAATTCCACCGCATAAACTACTCCATCCTGAACAGATAGTTTATAAAAGCAATGCTTGTATTTTAAAAAAGAAGCGGAAAATCGCCATGCCTCAGCCTTTGCTAGACGCGGAATTACTGGAAGTGTTCCAAACGACAGTATTTTCCGCTTAAAAGGCTATCAGATACTTTTTTCCCCGAAGGTTGCCTTAAAAGAAAGCTAAGGCAGGGAAGCGATCTCGGGAACCAGACAAGATAAGCGGCTGAAACTGTGTAGAGATTTCCCCTGTGCATGTGTTATCTGCCCGATTCGCAGACTACCATCAACAGGTTAATTCTTTGATCGATTCAGCCATTACTCGAACTCGAATATGCTACTTGGCAATATGCCAACTTGTAAAATGAATGATACATCCTTACCGGGCCAACAATATCGGAGCAGTGCGAGACTGTGGTACCGGATGCAGCACCCAGATACAGCAGTTTCGTACCCGGCCCAATGTGCGGATCGTCCAGACCAGCCAAAATTGCGGCGCCCAATTTGGACCGGAATGGATTCCAAATACGATACTCGATTTTTTCTGTTCCCTCACCCACCGAAACGCGTTTCTCACCGTACACCGATTCACCAACAACCAAATTTCGAGTGGCCAGCAGGTCCTGATTAGTTCGTGTGATAAAAACACCTGAAATTAAACCCGCTACTTTTTAAAATGTATTTTCTTCTCGAAAAGCCTGGCACAGCTATGCTTAGCGTTTGGAACTGCCCCAGTAACATCATCAACCCGGGATACCTACATTCACACAGGCTGAACGGTCTTGATATTCTTGAATTTCTTAGTAATTTTTTGCCAGAGGTGGCCAAAAAGCGTCCTATGACGAACGAAGGCTCTCTGAAGTAGCCCAACTAGTAGCAAATACCAACAGCAACCAATCGATGGCAAAATTGTCAATGGAGCCCTGTCAAGAACTGCTTAAAAACGAGCGGTTTTGACTGTTTGGCATACGTCAGTACCAGTTTATCATCGAAACTAATGAGGGTGCATCCTGTAGTTTATGTGTTAAACAGATTTTTTATAAAATTATTTTTCAA